AGTAGATTCTCGACCTCCCTCCCTTACCCCCATCTCCCCCCCTCTCTCTATATATATATTATATATACATTATATATATATATAATAAAAATAATCACTTCTAGAACTTCAGTCAAATAGGGTCTTTGCAAAAACCATTCATTTGTAGATCTCATTAGGACATATTACTATCTCCTGAGTTGCAATTTCTTCACATGTAAAGTAGAAATACTAATACTAGTGTCCACTTTGTAAGCTTTATGTGGGCGAGGATTAATGAGGAAAAATTTACTACATGGACCATAGACATGCTGGCACATAAGCACACAAGCAATACATACTAGTTACTAATAATTTCTGCCATGAGGCAAACTTGGCACAGCTTGACTTTTGCATTTTATATTTCTTCAGAAAATAGAAGAGCTGATTTCTTTTCAGAGAAGAACACTCTTTAAGTCTTGCAGCCTATATCTGACCTCAAAAATAGCACAGAGAAACTAGAGCTACTCTGTAGCTGCATATCTTACTGTCATTAGATAAAACAGTGCCCAGGAAACTCAACAGAATGGCACTTTCAAATGCTGGCTGTTGCTACCACCCTACACTCTGAAACCAAGGGAGAGGGAGTACAAGGACAACTTAGCAGGAAATGTATAGAACATCTTCCTCTGAACACTGAGCACAATGCCTAAACATTGCTAGACAGTATTCTACAAGGTGTGGAGAAAGTCCACAAGTCTTATCACAGCAATGGAACACCAGCACTATTCCTGAGGACAAAGATAGCCCAAGGCAGAGAAAACATGCAATGACAGATTAAGAAAAAATTCTACCCCTCAAACCCAATGGAAGAAGGGTATGATACAAAGGAATCTGGTCCACACAACTGTGAAAAATGAATCTGTAAACTTTCTAATTTAACAGTAGTAACTAACCAAAATAATGAGAAGTTAAAAACAACTATTTTAATTTGTATGTCACTGTGTATAGCAAACAAAAGTTATCTAGCTCAGAATTCAAAAATGGCAAAAGCTTCGGCTGGATGCAAACATAGAAGCTGTAATAGAAGAGCACGGCTATCTACTTGGGAATGCATTTATTCAGGCCTCCTATTGTGAACAGCCTGGATAAAGTATTCTGCATGCATTCTCTATATCAGCCAAACTTCCATTATACCAACCTCCCCTTGCGTGATACACGGACAGTTCTCACTTAATAAGTAAAAGATCAAGTGCCTGCAAAGTCCAAAGATGCAAAGCAATGCTCCTTTGGAAGTGCATCAAAAATCACAAATATCCATATTATACATCAGGGTCTAATGAATGAAAATTGAACTCTGCCATCATCAGTGTGACAGGTATGAATAAGGGTGTCTAGATTGAGTTTGCGCCCAGACATGGGTTAAAGCTTCTCTCCAGTGCATCATTGTGAACTGAGAGTGTGAATTAACAATAGAGTGGGACTAATTTGGAACCCTTCAACTGTTTGGAAATGTGTCCATCAATTCCATTTTTCATAATTGATACAGCATTTTGACTGTGGTGCTTGGCAATAAATAACTGAAACGAATTCTATCTGTTCAGAGAGTTAGTCTCATATCTTTACCACCACTTTTCATATTTTCACAGATAGGCCACAATCAATTTTATATGCAAAACTGAAATGGTATTCAGGAGGTGAAAAAGAACAGGAAAGCGGCAGCCAATAGATCTTTCACACTGGGAATCGAACAGCAGATTATATTCAAAGTACAGCACTTAGTGTCCAGTGCTGAATACATAAAATATATGACCATTACAAATCCACCTCCCATTGCAAAACCTTGCTCTTATAGTTACATATCTTATTGCTCAATTGCAGTTTCTAGTGTGATGAAGGCATCTTTCATTTTCTAGATGCAGGCCAGTCTAAAGCCCCATATCCTTCAAAAAAGAACCTATAAGAAAAGCTGAAGGGCTGGAGAGATGGCTCAGTGATTAGGAACACTGGCTATTCTTCCAGAAGACTTTGTTCAATTCCCAGCACCCACATGACAGCTCACAACTGTCTGTAACTCCAGTTCCAGGAGACTGGCCACCCTCATACAGACATACATGCCATCAAAGCACCAAATCACGTAACATTTAATTAAATGAATAAAAAGAAAGTCTGAATAGTCCATAAAAGGGCTGCACCTATTGGAGAGGGAACTACATAATTGAAGGTATGTCATCTCCTTAGGGACACACCACTTCAGAATGCCATGCTCTGCTAAATCCAAGAGGAGAGATTAGCCAAAGCTGTCTTCTAGAACCATCTTAAAAACATAAATCTACCACAAGTATCCAACCAATCCAAGTTCTGAAAATACAAAAAAAAAGATGTAGAACATTGTACATGCTAGTTATTGTGAAAAGAATAAACATATCAACATATCACGTAATCAGTGATGCAACTCAAATGTAAATGTATTTGAACCAGGAAATTTATGAAATGACTTTCCAGAACTTTTTAATTTAACCCTAAATCTTAAGACACAGATTTTCAAGCATTGCACAAACTATAAAGCAATTAACAAGTGTTATTTATTTAGTTTTTGAACATCGTAGATTAAGCTTGCATTGCCTTTCCAGACAAATGGCCTAGCAAAATCATCTCTGGCCTTTTCTTCCCCTTCCCTTCTCCTTATACGAGTATCACCTACATAGATATTGTTCTTTTAACTCCCACTGTCAGGCACACAAAAAACATCCCACACATCTTTGTTGAATGGCTATGAATGAAAGACAAAATGAAGACACATGGCTTTGTGGTAACTGTGTGAGATGCACAACAGCACTTTTCACTTACTTCCCACTCTTAGATGTGCTCCGGGTCTTTGTAGATGATGGAGAGTTGGCACCTGAGTTGAAGTTTGAAGAACCCCATCTATCCTTACTATACCCACCGAACAAAAATATATACAAAGAACACAGAGACAAAAGGCAATTAGTCATTTCGTTTAACAATATTCAAAACCTCTCTCTCTCCTGCCCTCCTCCCAGCAAATTTTTATCCAGTGATTTCCTTCAATGTCAGAGATAGTAGGAACCATTAGTCAAGGTCAAATAAAACTGTCCTTCAGAGCAAAGTTTGACCTGTTACGTTCCATTAATAGTAGCACCATAGACCAAGCTTCTAGGAAGGCTTTAGTGGGAAAACATGTATAAAATACATAGTCAAAAGGGAATAGTAGTTTCTCTCCTCCAAAACAAACAAAAAGGAAACCCCTTACTTTTTCAGCCACTGGAGTGTCTGTATCACAAGTTCAGTTCTGAAGCTGCCGACTTTCAGTGAGGGATATGGAACCAAGTGACTTCAAAATATCTTTGGGAGATACTATCAGATGAATTAATAATTTTCCCTCATAATGTTTCATGGGAAGGCCTTGCATTCAGAGATCCTTTCAAGAGAAGCACCACTTGCTTCATGAGTAATTGAATTTAAATTTCCACCTTCAATAACTCCACAGCTTATGTCAAACCTTGGAAACAATTACTAAATAAATCACAAGGAAGGTCTGCTTAATCTCATCAGGTTAATAAACGAAGGCAAATTAATCACCTCAAGGTAAACAAAGAGGAATAATTGACTGGAGTCTCCTTGATTACTTTATTCTATTTCTTTTATCAAACTATTTTACCATTATCTTCAATTCAGCAGCTTTGCCTTGAAATTAATACTGTACTTCATCTTCAGATTTCCATGGAAACCAATTCAAAGCCTTTCTCTCCACTTGATATGTGGAATTATTTATCCCGATTTCATCGGAAATTTTTCTGTTACTAGAATCTACGTCAGAATAACCTCATAAGCAGTGAAGGTAGATCATGTTCATTTTGTTATTCAGAGTATGTAATAGGACCTTCTCTTTTTTTACATTTATTTACTTATTATATGTGTACAGTCAAGTGTATATGTGCATGTGCCATAGCCTGTACAGAGAGGTCACAGGTCAACTTGGAGGAGTTATTTCTCTCCTTCCACTATCTGGGACATAAGGGATGCACTCATGTCATTAGGCATGACAGCAAGTGTTCAGAGTGACCTCATCAGCCCAGGACCTTCTTTTTTTTATTTAAAAATTATTATTATTATTATTATTATTATTATTATTATTATTAT